CTGCAGCAATACAGCGAATGTGAGTACCCATGTGTGTGTGTGTGTGTGTGTGTGTGTGTGTGTGTGTGTGTGTGTGTGTGTGTGTGGACGGCTGATGCTGCTCTAAAGCTGCAGTTTGTTAAACCAAATGATGTGGTATTCAAGCCTCTAGTCTGCCAGTCAAATTTCACACACTTCAATGTAGGTTTGCCGTCCCGGAAACCACAATCATCACTAACAAGTAATACGACGCGCTGCTGAACACGTGCACTAATAATAAATTCATTTAGAAATGCGATTATTTTACTTTCATTACTTTTTATTTAACTTATTCCTCCCAATTGTAGCTAATCAATTCACATTTCCTATGTGCAAATGTGATAGCTTTGTAAAACGATCACTGCAGCGTCACCCGATGTGTTTGGCATCATATTGTTCTTCCATGTTTTTTAAATTTATTTTGTTTGCGCGATGAGACCGGCCGCTTCCTCCTCCCTCGCCAACGCCCCCATTTGTTTAGTCAAAGGAGCATCTGTCCTCTCGTTCCTGATGATGAAAAGTGTTTCTCACGCGAGCTGCTCAATGGAGGCGTTACGCAATCACGTGAAAAGCAACGTTTGATTAAGCGATGGGCAGCAGGTGGCATCGGTAAGGGTTAAACAACGATGGGTCCTGACTTGGTCTATAACCTCACACCGGGTGTGGATCTGACCTGGATGTGGGGTCGCAAACAGGATGTTGTATTGTGAAGGCCGATCTGCTCTGGAGTTGAATGGCTTCTTTTTCGGCGCGTGCTGCGCTCTTGCAGCGGGTTTCTGAAGAAGATCTGGGTTCAGATGTTTTTCTGTAATCCAACAAGCCTAACTAGAAAAAACATCTGTCCCTGGGATGTCAACGGTTAACCACGCAAGAACACTGTGGACGTGGATTTTGTTGTGACGTTGTTCGCCGAGCGATTCGATAGCTTCCAGCGGCTCGTCCCCCAGGGGACCGTGCACGGCAGGGGACACGGACGAGGACCGTCTCCTCGTTGGGGCAGCTGTCAGCGTGGTGGAGCAGACTCGCTCGGTTTACGAGCCTACGAGACTATAATGGAAACGTGATAGACGTGCAGGCAGCGAAGGTCTGGTTTTTATTGATGGCGAGGAGAGGAGGAGCTGGGAGAGGAGGAGCGGGGGGAGGGAGGAGCTGGGAGGGGAGGAGCGGGGAGAGGAGGAGCTGGGAGAGGAGGAGTGGGGAG